GGGGGCTGTCTGTGATGGATATTGAGGTGGGTGCTCTGGGGGGCTGGGGGCTTCCAGCCCCCCCCAGTGCTCCCCGGGAAGGCCGGATCCCATGTGGAAGGACAGCGGAGCCCCGAGCAGGAGGGACGGGGTGGGGGGGCCTGGGCGGCCCCCGCGGAGCCCTCCGTGCCCGGCGCTCCCGCGGTACAAAGGGAGCAGCGTGATTTGTGGCGCCGGCGGCGCRGTGACAAATGGGCACCTCCGCGGGCTTATTCAGCGCTCCCGGGGGTCAGGGGGGCCGCGAGGGGCTCCCGGATCCTCATCCGCCGGAGCCGCTTTAACCGCATCAAGGGCCGCGGCAGAGAAGCGGCTGCACGGAGCAGGTGCCAAATTTTGCCTTTTCCCACCTGGAATGTGGCGCTCAGCAGTGACTAAACAGAAAACTTGCTTCTGTGAGCACCCCGCTCCTTGCAGCACTTCTCTGCTTCCCCTGGGTTTGTAGGAAGGCTCATGTCRAAATTCAGCGGTTATCTTGTCAGCTCTGCCCGTGTTTACTGTGCTAACCCGTCGTGGATGTCGCGCTAAATTCCCCTTCTTAAAGCTGTCGGTGGTGTTGTGTTCCCTGGCCGCTCTGCGTGTGTGCCTGCTGAGCAAAACTCTTATTTACGGGCAGTTGGTTTTTCAGACCCGCTTAAGGGCGTCCCATAAAGATCCCAGCAGCTGCTTTAGTGCTAACGAGCCTTGGAGAGCCCTGTTGGATGCGGATCCTGGGAGCGCTCAGTCGAGTGCGATGCCACCCCACCAAGTTGCCTGTTTTCCATAAAAGACAAAAAAACGGGGGATCTGTAGAGAAGATGAGTCGGAAAAGCAATAGCCCCTTGTGGGATTTGCAGCAGTTCACATTTGGCTTCAAATTATGCCACGTGTTTGGGCACCTGTAGAGCTTCACCCTCCCAATGCACTTCTTTTGTAGCTGAAATTGTTAAAAAGAGATAGTTTAAATATTCTTTTTACTCTCACGCTTATTGTTTTCTTAGGAACAAGGCATGGAGAGTTGGGATCATTTGTTTCCTAAAGTTGCTTAGCATGTCCCTGACTTGTGCGAGCAGCTGCAAAGTCATTTGTTTATTACCCTTCTTAGATTGTGCTGTGGCTGTAGATTATCTTAAYTATATTGGAGGTTTGCCCATAAAGGGGGGGAAAACCCACCTACWATTTGGTCTTGTGGACAAAAAAAGATTAATTGTGCGGAAAAAAAGGTTAATTTTGAGGAGATATTGGCACTGGTTAAAGTGTGAGAGTTCGTCAAGAGTGTAGTTCCCCACTAGAATCCCTGAATCCCTGCTGGATAAATCCTTATGTGGTACCTCAGGCTTAGCTTGCTTTTGATAGCAAATAGCGTGTTTCCATTAATGCCATATAATATTTGTAGTCCCTCTCGGCCCCTTTTGCAAGTTAGACAAAATTTATGCCTTCTAATTGCATTAGGCTCTTAGTGCAACCCTGGCATTTTAAATTAAAGCGTATCGACATCGCACCCAGATAAATTGCCTAACCTTTGTGTGCTTGCTCAGGAAAAGATATTATGGATTACTAGTTAACTCTTAAGTTATTCATTAGGAAGTTTAGGCATGGTGAGTATTTTTATAAGGCTCTGCTGCCAGGTGATTTGTCAGCAGTGGTCTGTTTATCTCCTTTTAGAAGAGAACCAAAGCTAATAGAGATCTGGGTGAAGACCTTCCAAGTAGAGCAGAAATATGTGAGAYGGACTTGTCCGTACTTGTAGAAGCAGCTGTTGTGGACTGGAAAATCCAATAATGGTTGTTGTTCTGTGACATCAGTCAACTTACTTGTTAATAAGTTTTTCTAACCCGGTCAGGAGGGGAAAAGAATAATTTTCCTGGTGTCTGATGGGAGGGGRAAAAAAGGTATATAACAATACAATAAAAGGTATATACTTCAATCCTTTTTGTGAAAGGCTCTTGTTTCATACTTAGGTGGGAAGTAAGAAAGAATTGAGTATTGTATGAAGTGGTTTGTCTTTCAGAAAGTAGAAGACAGGCAGGTGCAATCCCCTTTGCAGTGTGCAGCCAAACCAGTCAGAATGATTTTGTCACTGTGAGTTTTTTCCTTCTGTTTCAGGGTTTGAACCCTTTGGAGAACATGCTGTCAATGCCAGTTGGATTGCAGTTCAGGTAACAAAACTTAATTTCTGGCAGGTTAAAACAGAGAAATGTTTTAACCTACCCTTAGGTTTTTGCTTTGCAAGTCTATTATAAGCTGTCTTCCCAGCTTATCACCAAGGCTGGCTTACTCCAGATATGTAGATGGAGAGATGGCTAATGTTTATTCACTTCTTAGAAAACAACCCTTTAACTAGTAGAGAGTTTAATGAGATTGAGTCAATATAGCTAAAGCAACTAAAGAATTCATAGGCTGACTCTCTCCGAGTCCAGCGTGAGAGGAGCTGGAATGATTCATGACTTAATATTCTRTAGAAAAGCAAAACACAACCCCCTAAGGAATGTGATGTTTTTCTCTCCACTCCAACTTGAAGAGCAAGTTGGTTAACCTATAAGCTGGACATCTGGAATGAGATCATATGTGGCAGTCTCATGGGGTCGAGTCCATTGCAGAATAGTCCTGTCTGGGCCTGGATTTCAGGACCCTGACCCCAAGGCAAGTGGCAACGAGTGACCYGGTGCCACGTGCTCCAGGTGTCCCTGCTGGAGCAGGGGATGGAATAGATCATCTCTTAGAGGTCCCTTCCACCCTTAATTATTCTGGGATTGTGTGAGTGGCTTGTGGAGCTGGACCCTGYTTGAGCTCTGCTTTGTGAAGCAGCGTTGCTGGAGCAGGTTTCGCATCSTCAAAGGGGTCGAGTTTGTGCCGTTTGCAGCTGCGTGAGCACCTTTCAAGAAGACACCAACCTCTAGCCGGATGCTCTGCTAACCCAAGGGTTGCCGTTGAATTGAGGGTGCCTCCTGCAGCGCTCCAAAAACATCCTCTTGGTGCTGTGCTGCCGCGTTATCCCACTTCTTCCTTGTTTGTCCCCTCTGGATGTGGTTTATGACAAAGCTATTGGGAATTCGAGGGTACCTTTTAGTACAGTTGCCCAGGGAATTGAATCTGTSTTCCTCCCCGACGCATCTCTTTGCTTCAGAGCTCTGAGATTAATATCTTCTTCAGAATGCTTTTAAATTAAATCACAACTAGAATCAATTACAGTTGACTAATGTCCAGATGTCTAATGTGCTGGCTGCTACAAAAACACTAAACCTTTGGCTCCACGAGCCCTTTGGAAGCTGAATGTATTTGAGTTAGGATTTGCTCAGCCTAAGTTTTGGGGGAAATGCAAGCTGTGCATGTGACAAATCAGCCTAAAATCAGCCCAAAAATCAGCCTATGTGCTTAAAATTTAGCAATGAGACTAATTGATTGCTACTTTCTTGCTCAGGTCAATTGCTATAAACAAACTACTTCTAGAGAAGATGCAAAAAAGGCTGTTGTGTTTCTGAGACAGAGTAGTGGGTGTCCTCATGTTGCCTACAAGAACAAAACTAATATCTAATTTGTAGAGAAATTGGATGTTGTTCCCCCAGCCCAGCAGCTCAGGGCACGGACTGCTCAGCCGTGTTGCTCATAGATGAAGCAATCAAATGAATCCCAAATTCATCATAAGGGCTAGAGGTTGTTCAGAAAATATAAAAGTGCAGTTGAYGTGGGCCTTGCTGTGTCGAATCAGGTCTTCCTCGGAGTCTTCTTTAACGGCTTAGGTTAGATTCCAGCTAAAAACATGAACTTTGGAGGCCAGCTGGAGGGTTYGCCTCTCCTCGCTGCGTCTCGGCCCGGGGACGCACAGACAAAAAGGAACAGCATGGCTTTGAGCACATGGGAGTTGGGCATTGTGCAGGTTTCAGACAGGGGACTTCATGGAGCGGGGTGCACACAAAGGCGTGTCTGAGTTTCTGAGTCCCAGACAGTGTGATCTGCATTTTAATAGAAGAAAAATCAATTAAACAATCTTTGCAAAGCCTTCCTAGCTTTAGGGCTAAGCTAGCTCTGGTTTATTACGTCTCTTATTATCCCTCATCCTCAGGATAAAATTCTCTCTTTTTTTTTTTTTTGATATTATATTATGGTGTGTCTTTTTCCTTTGTCTGCTGTGAATTTGTAGTATAGTTACTTAGTGTTTTCTTGAAAAGTGCTTTTTTATTTTCATTTTTAACATGGGGCTAACACGTAGAGCATCTTAAATATTTGCTGTGCCCTTCTTATAATGCTAAAAATTAAATGTTTGGCTAGTTTTAATGCCTTTACTTCTATCCCGTGGTTTAGTCGCCACAATATTTTCCCCGCGGGTGGCTTTAAGTTGCAGGTTTTTGCCTTGGGAGGCACCTTTCTTTGGAGAAGTTGCTCGGAGCAGCTTTGCGGCCCCGYGGGGCCGACACAGGTGCATCCCATGGAGGGGGAAGCTAATTTGCCCCCACGTTCATCCCACCCGAGTGCTCCTGGAGGCCGAGGAGCGAGGTCAGGGTGCGTTTTGACATCGCGAAGGACAATTGCTGTCAGGGTGTCTAGACAGACCTGATAAGGATATTAAGGGCTCACAAAGCAGCCCATTGTGGCGGGGTCAGGGAATCGGTCAAACATGTTCGTTTTTCTGTATTTGTCAGGTATACAAGCCCGTCGATAATAAGTTGTCTGGGGGCCAGAGTACATCTTTATCAGTGAATGGCAGTGCGTGTTGGCCCTGTTGGGTTAAAAGAGCGCCGTGAATTTGTAAAACTGCCCTGAATGTGTCTGCAGTTGGAGGATGGAGGTGTCTTTGCAGTGCTCTGGCCTGAGGTTTCGGGCTTGCAGTGGCAAAGGAGCGGTGGGTAAAGCTCTTTAACCATCAAATTCCTCTTCAGCAGCTGTTTCCTTGGGGAAGCGATGATGAATTCCCTCCCATTAACATTCTGCAGTTTTTCTAAGGAGCCTAACTAGTATTTAAATGCTCTAATTTGTAAACCGCTTATTTTATTAATGCAGCACATAAACCAGCTAGCATTTCCAAGGCAGGCTTGTGTGAGGAAGATGTGATGAAACATCACTTAGCATCCATCTCTGGTAATGAAGGTCTGTGTGTGCCAGACGCTAATCAATACAGCAAGCCTTTAATATCAGACTTGCCCTCGGAGCCAGAGCCCGTGATTTATCACTGTTGTTGCTCCTATCTGCTGGTCCGTGAAAGTCTCTTGTCTTTTCTGCGTGTTTTAGTTGTCTTAAATCTTGTTGCAGATTGCATAGACCTGTCTGTGTGCCCGTACAAGTCTGAATGCGCCCTTCTCCTGGACTTTAAAGGTTCTTTAGCTTCAAAGAATTTTAAACCTAGTCAAAAATAAAATTTGAAACGGGATAAGCTTCGTGGAAAATAGCTACTCTGCACTTCTTAATATAAAATTGCAAGTATAATCTCTGTTCACAGGAAAAGAAAGACAGAGTTGCATAAAAATTGAGCTCTTGGCTCTGATTGCAGGATTAGAACCTGCAATGGAGCTAATTTAATAACTCAAGGGAATTTTAAAGTGTCCTTTGACAGTTTGGTGGGTTTTAGCATTGTTGGGTTTATTTGAGACCTAAGACGACAATATAGTGGCTTCTGGATGTGGGAGTTTCGGGCTATTTCCTTGCTGTGCGTGCGGCTCCCTCGCTATTAAAGCAGCTTCTGGCATGAGTAGAACTGCGTTTTCCAACTGACATGTATCTGGGGGGAGAAAATCACAGAAAGAGAAGCTTTTTCTAACCAAAATGCAGACCTAGCAACAGAGATGAAAGAGCAGAAGAGGAGAATATACTTGCTGCCTTTCCCGGAGAGGGCAAAGGTAGAGGATGATCCTGGCTGAGGTTATTGGCTTTAGTGCCATTCACAGTTATTTATCAGCCTCCAAAAGCAACTGTAAAGTTTTTCAAAGGGCCAGAATTACTGCTGTGATTAGAGAAAAAAACTTAGATGCCATCRAAACCTGTTAAGGGTGACATCCAAGCTCACTTGCTATGGAGAGGTGCCTCRCGGTGTAGACTTGCATAAAGCTGCTAAACAAACACAGGATTGAAGCTCATCTGATAACATAATRGGTTTTTTTTTTGTTATTTTTCAGAGGCTTTAGGCCATGGGAGTTGATCATTTCCTACAGGTTTTGAAAGTTGGGGTTTGATGGGGCCGGAAAGTTTCCCTTCTGACGAAGTCCTATTCTGGGCTGCGCTGTTCAAGTCTGAAGCACCAAATGAGCAAGCCCCAAACTGAAACTGTGCTGGGGAGAAGGGAGTTAGAGCAACGTGGGGAGAGCGAAGGAGAAAAGAAAAATGATCAAATCGCTCTGTTTGGCRGTGCACTCTGAGGCAGATTCACTGCTGCTGTTGCATTCGGTAACTAAGCAGTGAGTGAGCTACAGTTTCACCCTTTCCTGTAAAAATGTAATTATCCCACTGTTCAAGCTGGAAAATGTTCAGGACCATGTGCTGGATCTAGAGGGAACCTTGGGTGCATGTTGGGGTGAAACAATGTTCTTTTGTCAGGTATTTTTGGGGAAAACCCCCCCTTTTTTTTTCCCCTTCTATCTTTCCTTGTATTAAAGAAGTGCGTGCAAGGTATTTAACCTACTCTGTTTTAATGAAGTTGGTTAAGTTTGTGGCTCGTTTAGGTGGGATAACCTCAGGGCGTGACTTCASTCAGCATTACAGGAGAAGAAATAGTTCACTGCATTAATTGAATCACTAAAACGGTCAGGTTAATGTTGCAAAGTTAAGTACCAGGTTTAAGATGGTGCAGGTAAAGCTAGCAGAGGAAACCCATTTTCTGTTTTGGAAATAGCTCTTTTCTGTCTCTTTATTCTGCCAGAATAAAAACAAATCTGTTGCAGCGAGTGTGCCAGGATTGCTTCTGATTTTTCTGTTGTTGCCTTTTTTCCTATGAGCAGTGTTTATTAATATTTGTGGAGAGCTGCAGACAGTCTGCCTTGTAGTCCTGCTAACTAGAGGTGAGAGTTGTTATTTATTCACATTAAAYACAAACAAACATGAAAACTTGCTGTTCAACGCTGCAATCCTGCAAGAGAGCAAATCAGACTAAATTCTCCCTATTCTACTTTTCTCTCCATATTATTTAGTTCTTTCCAAAAAACAAGGTTAGTATTTCTTAAGAATATTGTAGACAGCCCTTTCTTGCAGTGTTTGTTGCTGATAACTGTTGTCAGTTAAATGTGGTTTTCTTTGTTGCACAGGAGTCAGGAAAAGAAAACAAAGGGGCCGGTGATGAAGGCTGTTAACACAGGTGCAGGAGATGCCTTTGTTGTTCCCTCTTGCATTTTATCTCTATTTTTTTTGCTGCTCCTTCTGCCTTATCTCTGAAGAGACTCTAAGGCAGTATAGAGTATCATATAGAAAACTGGTTTGATTCTGATTGCCCAACTGAACTAGAATAGCAGCCTTGCTTTTTTTTTTTTTTTTTTTTTTTAAACCCTCTGTCCTTTTGGAGAGATGTTTGTCCAATAGCTCCCTCTTCCTGACTCCTTAGGGAGTAAAGGTTATAAGGTGGTTATAAGGTTATTTAACCTTATCCTAACTGATGTAGCTAGTCCCCCACAACACACCCACTCTGTCCAAAGGTAAAGTTCAGGGAAAAAAAAAAGGGATTTTTTTTTTTTGAAAAAAAGAAATCCTTTCAGACTGAATTTGTGTCTCATCATCTTGAATTTTATTTCCTTATCATCTTAGGAACTGGAGAAGCTGGGACTGCGAGATGATGTGGATCTGCACGTGTATGAAATCCCGGTTGAATATCAGGCCGTGCAAAGGCTAATTCCTGCCTTATGGAAAAAACACAGTCCCCAAGTGCGTGAGTAGAGTGAAGAGGATAAAAGAACAAGTGATGGAGATTGCTCCTTCTTGCAATAATGAGCATAATGTGAAGTCACATGCTTTTTTAATGTATTTTTTGACCTGTAATCCCTCATTAGATATTTTTTGTTGTTGTGAGAAAATTTGAATTTGTAGAATTTTGTAGCCCAGAAGAGGGTGATCCCATTGTTGGCAGGGTCTGGTGTGAAGTGGCTGCTGCAAAGGGCTGTCTGGGCTACTCACTCGATCTGTGGCTCTTCCACCAGTGGGTTTCACTGTGATTCTGCCACCATTCACCTTGCCACGAGTAAAACAGCCTGGGGAGGGCCTGAAATGGGCAGAATTGCTCCTTACTGCACCCAGCAGCTCATTGATAATTCCTGCAGCAACCAGTATTTTACTGGGAATCGTGGGCTGTTGATCCTCCACCATTTTCTATTGTGTTTAATCCAACTTGCTTCTTTCCTCTCGCAGCTGGTGGTCCACGTGGGTGTTTCGGGCATGGCTACGACYGTGACCTTGGAGAAATGTGGCCATAATGTGGGTTATAAAGGCTTGGACAACTGCCGCTTCTGCCCCGGCTCCCAGTGCTGCGTCGAAGGTGGCCCCGAGTGCATCGATTCCATTATTGACATGGACACGGTTTGCAAGAGAGTCTCAGCACTGGAGCTGGATGTCACTGTCACTATATCTAAGGATGCGGGCAGGTATGGGATGGGGAATTAACAGGGAAAATCAGCTCAGGATGCAGAACATCATATTTTCATGCTCAGCTCGCTGAGGCCCGTGTGATTCATGTGCTTTTCCAGTGGGGCTTGCAATTCCACATGCTCTTCTGCTGTCATAAGGGAGAGGAGAGATTCTAATGTGTTGTAGTCTTAGATTAAAGCAATTTCAAAGGAGATGAAAGCAATTTAACAAGATCACAATATGGCTTGAATACCACCTTTTATTGCAGGATGTTGGTGCAATGCTGAATGATAAGAATACAGTTCATCCTGTCAGGCAGTTGCACGCTGTGCTTGTCWCTTGTTGCTAAATAAGTTTTATTTTTATGTTTCAGATACCTGTGTGACTTCACTTACTATACTTCCTTGTACCAGAGCCGTGGGAGGTCTGCTTTTGTTCACGTACCTCCACTGGGAAAACCGTATACTGCCGAACAGCTGGGTCGGGCACTGCAGGCTATAATAGAAGAAATGCTGGATGTTTTGGAGCATTCTGGTGAAAAAATCAATTGTCAGCACGAACACTGAAACTGGGCAGAAGTTATCTTAGTATTGCACTTCCAAAATTTTCCCTGCTACAGAGGTACTGGGGAAGACGGTCTGTCTGAAACGTACAGAACAAGAATTGGAAACTTCAAAAACGAAAATTCCACTTCTAAAAATTGACATTTTTTTGTCAAATATGTGCATTTCAGCCTAGGCAACAAAGGATTCAAAATCTCGCATTTTTAARCACCCGCAACTACTCATTTCTGAAATGACTGAACTGTGTTTGCTTTGCTTGATCCAGAGCATATCTGTCATTCAAGTGACAGCTACTGACCAGTCAAATGCAGCACAGATGGAAACTTTCTCATGAGGATTTGGCATTCAGGTGTGGGGAATTGATAAAACCAGCTATTAATGACTAGTTTTTGAAAGGTTTGCTTTCGTTCTGTTTTCATTTTCCTCTTGGGTCCAAATTATAGTTGTAAAGAWATAACCGAAAATAATTCAACCCATGTGGGTTTAATCCACTGCAGAACGGTACTTGGAGACAAGGAGTCTTCGAAATTGCTTTGCTAAATTCAAAAAATATTTTAGGCACCGATTTCTCAAACACCCCCCAACGCCCAAATATTGGTAGGGCTCTCTGTAATGTACTGGCTAACTAGTAGCTGCAAATAGGAGGGATGTTTTGGGTTATTTTGTACTCAATACGAACGTAACTTGCACCAAATACTCTCAAATGTCTTTTTTTATTATGCTCTTGATGCCACCTTCCTCGCTCAAATCAACCATATACCTCCTGTACAAAACACGTTGTTTCGTATATGTATAAAGCGAATCATTAGCGGTTAAATAGCTTTGCTAAAGGCCACTTTCTCTGCAGGAGATCTTTATCCTAGACTCATGGTGCTAGCTGCTATTTTTTAGGTGAAGGTTGAGTAATTTATAACTTCCTTAGTTATAAATTTTCATTCTCGTTAGGGGTTAGATGAAGAGTAATGTTTAACTTAAATCAAGGTAGCAACTTAGAATTTATTAGAGGCATAAATATGCTAACGCGTAGATTTAAAAAATATTCAGCCAAATCAAATATTCTAAATTGTTAAAAGTTTTTCCCACTTTCTGTAAAGCAGGCCTTTTTTGAAAAACTAGGAGTTTTGCCTAGAATGAGTAGTYCAGGCTGTTTTAGTGCCTCCCTCCCAATGGGAGGGTGTGAAACRCTGCTTCTTGTGTGGATTTTCCAAGTAATTAATTTGGGAAAGCATACATACAGTTTATGAGCAGGACTTTTTAATAGTTATATMTACTAGGAGCATCGTTTGGTTCCAAATTACAAGACTACAGTGAAAGCAAGAGGATGTCATAGTGAGAACAGGAATAAAACTGGTGATTGAAGACCAGGATGTCTCATTAAGGAGTCGTTTAAATGAGAAGGTCTGTACTTTGATTCTTATACATATATATATATATATATACACACACACACACTTAAAACCCCAGCCTTTTGAAACTTCTTGTAATATCACTTAATTTTTCTAATCGTGGATGATTCTGCTACAGTATCTCTCAGTGAGAGCTGCTTATTAACTTGCTGTTTTCCAGTAGAAGTTTAGTGAAGAAGAAAATACCCCTTCTTGTAACTCCGGAGAGAGGATGCAGACTTTGCAAAGGGGGGAACTGTGTACGAAGGTGTCTGGATATAGTCCTGGCTTACCAAGCAAAATACTGCTGTACTTCCTATCAAAAGGATTTGCCTTGAAAGCAAACAGTCCCCTTCTGCATTCAAGTGTAGCACTTGTCAGATTGTCAGTAGGCAGGCAGGCTTTCTGATTAGTAATTTATTCTATTTAATGTTTTGTTTAAATACTGGTGATTGACACATTTTTTTGCAAGTAGTCGGAGTACTTATCGTCCCCTAGGTTTATTCCTTTAGCAAGAAGTTTTTGTCATCAGTGTATCTTAGCTGCTAAAGTTTTTTTTAAAAAAAAGAAATAATTCATGTGTTCTGCTGAGTTCAGCAATTGATTTAGGTAATTTTCAGTAACTCTATTTAATTTGCAGGTGTTATTTCTAGTTGTGAGTAAGATGGGAGTGGAAGATTCACGGTTTAGGGAGGTGAGAAGGCGACCACGGACCTGAGGTGCTGTGTGGACGGTGCTGCTTGGACTAGCAGCGTGAAACCTGCTTGGAAAGTCCTTGGCCCCGTTCACGTTGTGGCTTGAGCACCCGGGTCGTCTTGTGATCTCTCTTTTTCATCTTTTGCCTCTTTTGAGGCAGATTTCTGATCAGTCCTGTGCTCCATAACCAATAAGCGTCTCCATCAGGAGCGAGTCTTTGGTCCTCCCTGCCATTCAAAGGAAAAATCGGGTTGATTTTGGTGAGTTCTGCTTGCCAAAGAGCTGCAGGGGTTGACCTGCATGTCAGTGTTAAATTTCTCATTTTCAGAAATACTTTGCTTTGAGCGTCACTTTAAACTGCGCGTTTCCTCATAGTCTCTTTTGGTGACGCTTCCGTGTGATCAGCATGTTAGGCAACATTATTTATTTTGTAATCTTTTTCTTGTTGTTCTTGAGGATTAGTCATCAGTTTGTGTTTGTAAAGGGTGTCTTGGTGGTAGAGATATTTTGTATAGTGAAACTTTTTAAAATGGCATTAAACTAATTTTATTTAATCTCATCCTAAAAAAAAACCTTTAAAAAGTATTTAATTTCTGTTAAAATCATTAGTTCATTATGTCTTTCCTATAGCTGCATATTTTCTTTCGAAATACAGCATAAAATCGATGCAGAGCTTCAGAGAGCTGATTTTTTTTTTTTTTTTTTGTAATGCTCGCTATCTGCTTTCTTTTCCAGATCATCAATAAATAGGATTTGCTAATTTGCACTGACTGGGAGACCCGTTGCCAACTGCAAAAATTCTTGTGCTAGTGAGTAAGTGTAGGAAGTTCAGGTTTAGTGTTTACTGCTGCGCCTGCATTGTATAAAATGCAAACACTGATAACGTCCTAGAATCCCGTGACTGCAAACTTGGATCTGATAACACACTTCCCTGAGAAATGGGTGTGAGAATATGTTGTGCCGAAGAGAGAATTAGGGAGGCTCCGTGTACCAGGGCTGATGTCATTTTACGTGCTTGCCAACAACTCGAAGTAGAGGTTGGCTAATGAGTGGGTGAAGTTGATGACAATTTAATTGTTTCGGCTGTTAAATGCTGTGGAGGATTTTGAGGAACTCCAGATACTCGTAAACTCCTTCATAAAGTGGTAACTGTGATGTCAGGAGCTAATTCCTTTGAGTTAGGACATGGTGATCTAGTTTATGAAACAGCAAAAAGATCCTGTGGGCTCCAAAGCTTCTCTACCTTAAGACTGCTGGGGCTGTGAGTGACCTCTGTCCTGAAGCTCTCTGCTTTTGGAAAGGGTGTCAGGATTGGTACGATCACGTGCAACAGCTCGTGATTATTTGGAGTATTTCCCAATGTGATTGCTTCCTCTGAAACACGGTAGTAGTGGGAAAGGATGAAAAAGTCATGAGGATGGTCAGAGGTGTTGAGTGTGGTGGTGACATGAGGCTACAGCCGAGAACTGGCTTAAAGTGCTGGAAAGAACTGGTTTAACCTAAAGGGTTTTTCAAGGAGGGAACTGATGGAGGATGTTGAAGAGCTTAGGACTTGAGAAGGGAGCAGTTGTTCTGGCCTCCCCTAGATGACGGGGGAGATGCAGAGACGAGGTGTGTGGAGGCAAAGGGGAAGAAACGCAGCTCCCTGCCTCGCAGCTGGGGCTTTTGCTGGCGACTCCTGTGCTCTGGGTGTCCCAGCTCGAGCAGGGAGCTGGACTGGGTGGTGTCCAGAGGTCCCTTCCAGCCTCATCCATTCTGGGATTCCGTGACTCCCTGCAGAAACGGGCAAGGTGTTAAAGCATTTTAACCTCTTAAAGCATTGCAGGTTGCCCACGCTCTGCGGAAGATCTAATACCATCTAATCTGTCACCTTATCTTTATTTCTTTTAGGCTTGTGCTGCCTGTGGATAGTCAGGTAGGAAACAACGCTACTCGTTCGCATTTTCTTACCCAGAGAGTCTCCCTGCGATGTAGCATTCAAACTGCAGCGTGTCTCTCATTGCTCTGCCGRCCGTGCAGGCAATATTTAACCTTTTAGTGCCTCAACCAGCTGGCAAAAGGTGTCATTCCAGGCTGTGTCACCCCGTGACGTGCTTGGAAGGGGATCCCAAGAGCTTCCAGGCCTGCAGACTTGCAAATAGATGGCACAGACTGCCAGAGTTGTTAAATTTATTAATGAAAAGTTCTTTAAAACTTACAGTTGACTGAAGTTTTCCTTAATGCTGGAATAATCTTCATTCATTTGCTTGGGTAATCTGACCTTGCATGGAGGCTTCCTTAGGAAATGGATAAAAGGAGCTACAGTAGGAAGAGCTTCCTCAAACCAAAAAGGATGGAATGAGGTGTAAATGAGGTGGATTGGGAATTCCGACTAACACAAGACTAACACAAGAGCTAGCACTAGCCTAAATCAGCTGTTGTGATCTCACCATGTTGTATCGTGGTTTAACTAGGTGCGACTTGTGTCTGTTTTTAACTTAGAGCGTGTTTCTAACTCTCTAACCATGCAATTTATGCTCGGACACGAAGCTGCTTCAAGAGTGAGTGGTAGTGTTTGAAAAGTGACTGGAAACCAGTGTGTAGATATAGGAAGGTCAATTGTGTATCTGTTTTATTATGATTTYCAGAATTCATCCTGCAGTGCAGATATTGTTAGCAATGGATTTGTGTTCTTAGGCCATACTTTCACAGAGTAACTTCACTCCTATTGTCTCCTTTCTTTAATATGTTACCCAATAGTATTTTAATGACATTTCAGAGCTGCAAAGACTTGGTTTATCCATACCAGCAAATAAAATTGGAAAATGCCACTGATTGATATAGTAAGTACACATTGCAACTAATGTAGATGAATTTGTTATTTTTGGATTGGAAACCRTAATGTTTTGCAGTACAAAATGCACTTTTTTCCTAACAAAATTGTATTAATGTCTGATTAACGTCTGATGTGATTAAAGGACAGTTTCTTCAAACCTGCGAAGTAGAAACAAAGCTGAGAATATTGTTAATTTTTCACGTTAATTGCAACCTGAGATCTGCTTCTGCTCGGTCTACTTTAAGACAAAGCGGAGAACAAAATGCCTCCTAATAAATAGGAATTAGGTGTAGGGGATGAGGCTGTACACTGCCCTTAAATAACTCTGTGCTACTTAAATACCCCTTCAGGTTTTATATTGCACCAGCTTTTTGAATTGCCAATGTTTACTTCGATTGAACAGGGAGTGCCTTGTCCCACGCTGGGCTCATGTTTGGGAAGCAGAATGCTGGGGATGGGGACAGAAGAGCCACCTGGCCTCTCCAYTGGGTGGAAAAACTGGGGTTTTATCCCTGGGAGAAGCTGTTCAACTTGCTCAGTGTCCCCTTGATCCAAGGATGCTCTTTGGAAACTCGCGGAATGGAGTCCTGGAGGTTTTTCTGCAACACTTTCAGACCTGACAAAGCAAAAGCGGAATTTTTGCTACCTACTTGTCACCGTTGCTTAGATTGGCCAATTTTTTTACAGTTATTTTGCCTGTCCTTTAACTATAACTGTTTTGTTCGGGCTTGGTTATGCATGTTATAGCCTCGCTCCGCCTTTGGGGTCTCCCCTTTTTGTTAATTGTGGTCAATTAAACAGTTGTCCCTTAGGGTATCTCAGGTGTTGCCGCTCTCGTGCTTATCAGGACTCTTGGAGCTCCGACTGAAAATCCCTTGGGGCTTCTGTTTTTTCCCAGTGTGTTCTTGCAGTGCCTTGTAAAACCAAACGATCCAGTGTGTCACAAAAGGGCTGTGTAATAAAGAA